TTATGGATTAATATGATTGTATAGATTGAGAAGATTTTTATTTGAAAGAGTTTTTTTTCATATATGGAAGGAGCATGTTTTTTTAATTGGGAGGAACATGTTTGGAAAAAGCTTTAATTTTTGCATAAACCTTCATCCTAAAAGCTTACTGAATAAGCTACTTTCTATATCACTAAGCCATTACATACCAAACAGTAATATATAGCTTAACAAAATAAACCGTGAGTCCCACTAAACTTATTGTTGATGCATAGCAAGCCACTATACCTTCGTTGTGATGTTTTTATGGCATGTAATAATTTTCTTTATATCTTGTTGTGTTTTAGGACTTGTATATTTTATCTCAAATATGTAACAAGATAAAAATAGGTGTAATGGAGTATAAAATGTCAAGGAGTCCACTTTTTCCATCACAGGATGACGTGGTTAGTGGGAGCTCCAAAATCGTTACAAGAAGGATTTTAGGTTCACGTCCCTAAGATTGGCTCGGTTTTGTGTTGGTTTGCAAAACCACTAGTTTGTGGGTTGGCTATGCATCCTTAGCTTGTTTATGTTATATATATATATATATATAGGAGTGATCATATAAAAACCGCCCTCATTTGTGTAAACCGTGCAAACCACCTTCATCTGTCGATTTCATTGTTTAATATAATGAAATTTTTTCATGAAATTGTTTAATCTTGTGAAATTGTTTCATATAATACTTTTTTTTTGATGAAGTTGTTTCATATATGGTTGTGAAATTGTTTCATATAATACTTAATGAAACTGTTTCATGTATTTCTCTAACATTAATGAAACTGTTTCATGTATTTCTCTAAAATTAAAATWATGAAKATGATAATATCTATGATTAACACCCTCCACAATAAAAATGATTAATCAACCTCTCATAATTACAAAAAAATGAACAAAATGAAAATTTATGATTGGTTGAATGCGGTTTGCACGGTTTGTACAAATTGAGTGGTTTGCATTTGATCGCTCCCCTATATATATAAATATATATATATATATATATATATATATATAGAGAGAGAGAGAGAGAGAAGAGCGATCAAATGAAAATCACCCTCATTTGTAAAAACCGTACAAACCACCCTCGTACGTCGATTTCATTATTTAATCTTATGAAATTTTTTCATTAAATTATTTAATCTTGTGAAATTGTTTCATATAATACTTTTTTTTGATGAATTTGTTTCATATATGGTTATGAAATTGTTTCATATAATATTTAATAAAATTTTAATGCAACTGTTTCATGTATTTCTCTAAAATTAAAATAATAAAGATGATAATATCCATGATTAACACCCTTCACAATAAAAATGGTTAATCAACCTCTCATAATTACAAAAAATGAACAAAATGAAAAATTATGATTGGTTGAATGAGGTTTTCACGGTTTTTACAAATTGAGTGGTTTTTATTTGAACGCTCCCCTATATATATATATATACTAGAAGGATATTCGTGCAATGCATCGAGACATATCTTGATTTCAGTGTTTTGTTTTGTTTTTTTTGTATGTCGATATAATACGTTTTTATTTGGTTTTGAGAAAACGATAATGTTTTTATTATTGAATAAAATATAAATTTGAAAATATCATAAAATTTTGAAAAAAAAAAATATATTGATATCAATATCAAATTAACTTTTTTTGAAAGTTCTTGTGTTTTAAGTGTAATTTTCTTAGTTCAATTTTTTTAATTATAATTTAATTCAGGTTTAGTAACAAAAAAATTTAATTTAGATTTAATAATATTTTTTATGAAGATAATAACTAAGTATTATGTTAGAACTCAATGATTATCCTAATTATATTTTAGATTTTTTATATTTAAAATGAGATGCTTATCCAGTATTTGATTATGTTTATCTGCAGTTAGTTACACAAATTCAAATATAAAGCTCTAATAAGTTCTACTTATGCACAATTTACTTATAATCTTAAATTTATAAGTAATATACATTAATAAACAGTACTTTATGCATAAAATTGGTTTTTTAGAGTCAAATGCTTTATAATATAGTGTATATATATATATATATATATATATATATATATATTACATGGTTAAAATAGGATTTCGGCTATTAGAAAACATTTTTATAAATTCAATAAAACGTAATTTGGAATTTGGTTTTATTTATAAAATTGCAACTAAAATCCAATTAGTAATATAAATATGTGTTTTATAAAAACTCAACTACGTTTTAGAACATCATAAAGATGAGTTTTAACAGATTAAATTGAGTTTTAAAATTACCAAACTCTAATCGAAAGTTTCATTAAAAAGGTTTTTTAAGCTAAAATTGGTCGTAAATGGATTTTATAAAATTGGATTTTAATGAATTCAAACTACGACATGTAAAATGCGATTTTACTATTAAAACCGTACAATGATTCTTAAATGCAAGCAAGCATTTATCATCGTACACCATTTTGAAAAAATTCCATCAGTACAAAAAGAATAAATTCCTTTTAAAACGTAACTCAGTCAACGTCATCTTTTTAAAAGAGATTTGTCTTTTCCTAGAAGTTCAGTGAATAGTGTCCTAGCCAACCACTTAGACATCTTATAACATGTAAGGTGGCGTTCGTAATTCCCACGACAGTCGTGGGCCGAATATCACAATCATTAAGAAGGACGACTTTAAACCCGACCTTATAAACAGTGCATTCGCCAATTATAAGAGAAAGTTGGCATAGATGGGATTAATGTGTCGAGCAAAAGGTTGTCATGGAATCCCATAAGTTTTAAGAGTTGCATAAACGATGCAGTTGGTAATCATTGCCTGCTTAAATAACTTGAACTTGTGATCAATGTCACCGCCAGTCACAAGCAGAAGTGAAATATGGATCTTAACTTTAATAAAAATTAATGTGTAACACTTGGAATTTCTGGACATATCATTGCCTTGGTATTCTATGTGCTATTCTTACCTTGAATAATACACTTTTTTTTTATTAAATTACATCGTTAGGTAATATTATGAATTGGGTGTTATGTTTAAACAAGAATTTGGAAGCCAAAACAGTGGTTAATGCGAGTTTCGTGCGACCTTACTCGCATGAAAGTCGCATCTGGGGTCTAGTTGTTTGTGAAAGATAAATGCTGGCAACTTTGGTGCGGGACTACTCACGGCCAAGTTGCATTCTTGTCCAGTTCATTTCTTAAGCCGAATTTCTTAGGGTTTCATCACTATCTCCCGCACCATCTCTTCTCTTTTTCACCCCTCCTGACCATGGTCGATTTTGGCACTAATGGGGTCGAATTTGAGAGGTTTTTGGGGGCAAATGAAAGGAAAATCATAGATATTGAAGAATCATTGTGGTTGATCTCGAGTTTGGAAGAGGTAAGCGTGTTTGGGCATATTGTGTGTTGATTCGGATTAGTTGATCTTGCGGTTGGTTTTGTTGTCCTTCTAGACTTGGATTGTTGCTTTGAGAAGATTTCTAGAGGTTCATTGCTTATGGATCTAAGATCTTCATAAATGGAAGCTAGAGTTTGGGTTTTCGGATCTAGGTTTAACTTAACGTAGCAAGATGAGTTCAAGTTATTTGTGAAAACTATGTACATGCCAAAAATGACTGTTTTAAAGTACTGAAATGTTTTCATAGATATTTATTAAATATGGTTATTATTTGATGGGGTTTGCATTTCTAGTACAATGAGTTTATAAATCTTGAGAAATGCCCCTGTTTGGGGTTTTTGAACATTTTGATAACTAAATCATATGTGTTGAGTCTTTTGATGATTTATCTTATAAATGCTGATTATTCGGTGATAAATGCATTTTTAGTGTATTGGGTTTGAAAAATGCATATTATTGTGTTATGGGACATTTTGGAAATATAAAAGATATGAGTTTTTATTGTAAAATGATTTGTCCCAGCCAATGATGGGTTTTTGAGTTGATCATGTATTTGGAGCATGCATTTGCATAACGTCGGTTAAATACGTCTTATTGCTTTTGATGATTCTTTTTGTATAATCAATTGAGTTTTTTGCTCGGTATTGACTCAAATGAAATATGTTAAAAATCACGACGAATATGTTATTGTTTATAAGAATATTTTATCCGAACAACATACGGGTATATAAATAGCAATACAATAAAATCAGGTTTATAGTACGTTAAAAATGTTTAAATGTCCTCATAGACTGATTTACTGGACTTAAGTTTATAGAATCAAACAATTATGCATCTAATGTAAAAGTGTTACAATAAGTTTATAGGATGCTTTTGAGCGTCATAACAGGTTCTTTAAGACACTTATATATCTGCAAATAGTTTATTTATATATCAAAATGTGTGTTAAAACGTGATTAAATCAAAAACAGGTTTAAGTTCTTGCTAGACGAATATGAGATGAGATAATCGGGTACAAGATGAGTATATGTTAAAAGAACCAGAGATATGTCATATATGAATTACCGACCCCACCAAATATTTGTCTTTAACATTTCAAGTAAGATGATAAATTCAATGACAACTCAAAGAAGAGAAAATGCCATATCTTGATTGACATTTAACTGTATCTATTTATAATCTATCGATATTCGAACAAAGCTGACATATCATAACTCCGTTACATAATATGTTGAGTGAAATGTGTCGAATGGTACAATTCATGTCTAGATCGCCAACTCGGATTTTGTGGATATGTTTAAGACTGTGCTTTTTGTCGGGACTTCTAGATAGCCCAAAAATGGAAAGTTTAAGGGTTGTGATGGATATTTTCGGTCTTGATAGACATCTAACCTGAAGTAACGAGCTTTTTCTAACCTTTTAACATATTGATTCGTGTATTCTTTCAAGTTTTGGTCTTTTGTGCGTTTTGCAGTGTAAGAACAAATAGAGATGCAGTGGCTTGTACATCTGTGCCATCATATCATTCGTAGCAGTCTAAGTTTTTTATTTTATTTTATATCACGGTAATTATTCGGTGGCCAAGTGAGAAATCATGGATCTCCCAAGCCCAATGAACTTTTATCTTTGAGATACAACATTTGGGCCTTACTTGTGGCCCATTTTCATAGTTCAAGATGCTTAAAAAGCCCAATAAGCTCTTTTGACTTTTTTTAGTCAACAATCACAATCTTGTACAAAAACTTACAATAGGATTTATACATAATACACAAAAGTTAGACCAATTGGACACTTTGATCTAAGAGATGGTGAGCCCAGAAGAGAAGGTGACGCCAGCCATGTTTGAGCCCTCCATCTTGAACTCAGGTAGGGGTACCCAAGCCCATTTTGACTTTTCAAAGTCAAAGCTAAGCCAAATAATGTCCCAAATACCCTCAAAATTTGACATCAAAATGGCCCTAATTGTTCCTTCTCTTTCCTCCAAACAACCCATCATAACCCCATAGGGTTTCTTGATTTCATCTATTAGCCCATTTGGGACCTTTGAAACAAAGGCCCATTGCCTCCCATTTGGGCTCAAACCCCATAGTTCCACCCCTTTTAAAACCCTGATTCCTCGGCGCGAATCGTTTGTGCCATCGGATCCTGATCGAACGATCAGCATCCATCCGTCACCGTATATGTGTAACCGGTTCGTTACGCTTCCCCAACTGAAACCAACTGCTAATTCTCCGTCTTCGAGAATCCCTGAGAATATGGGTCGTACGACCGTGGGCTCGTTTGAGTCGTAACCAACACAAACCACGACGCTTCTCCTTGGCTCGTTTGATGCGCTTAGAAATATGCGGTTTTCGTCTTTTTTGTTGACGTGTGATGGGTTGACGATGCTCTCCTTCGCGATCGTTGACTTCCACTTGTTTGTTCTAGAATCGTACTCGAATAACGTCGGGTTATTATCGACAATTTCCACAAACAAGAACCGAAACTGGCCCGACCCGGATGGGCCCGCCAGTAATTTGATGCCGGACCGTCTCCACGATGATGTGCCACGTGGACCCAATGGGCTTTGAGGGATTCTTTTGACGACTTTAGTCATGGGATTAACAGAGATAACTTCCCGACTACAATTCAAAGCAAAAAGGAAAAAATTACCAGACGCCGTCAAGAAATAAAGATCTTCACCGGGAGGGATGAACGGCTTCAAAATATCTCCGATCATCACCTTAAACCACCGTTCCGATGATTGGGTAAAGCCGTGAATCACCACAGGATCACGGTGCCACCTTTTTTTGTATACAAACAACCAGGTGGAGGAGCTTGATCGGAGATTATAATCACGGGTAAAATCCTGATCGGCGATCATGGAGGTAATGAATTTGTTGACGGATTTTAAGTGGAAGATATCGGGTAAAGCTAGCCGGAGAATTATGCAATGGATGAGCTCCGATGGGAGGAGAGAGAAACCGACGACGGTGGTAGAATTCCGGCGACTTTCCATATAGGTTTGATGGGTAAAATTATCCAGTTTGTAGCAATGATAGCATTAATATATCTGTTGGATGGATGAAGTGGGTCTTACAATTCAATTAAAAACGGAGAGTAAAATATGGGTTAAAAGTGACGTAGTGGAAAAGACTAAGGACATAATTTCAATTTAGTACCCAAACTTTCAAGGTTTCGCATTTTAGTACTAAATAGTTTTATTTTTATTAACCTGGATATCCAACCCGCTAAATAGTTGTATCATATAGGAAAATATATTTATTTATGATCTTTCTAAAAGGAAATTATCAATAATATTCAATATTTTTGGTGAGTTTATACAGTGTTCTAAACGTTCTGATGAGATGTATATTAGGATGGGATGTACTGAGATATATCGAATCAATTCTTGTATCAAACGTGATTCATAGGTGGGTCTCATGTTTTTTACCTTAACTCTCTTTCTCACACGACCATTCGTTTATATACACATACACACATAGGGGAAGGATAAAATGCAAGCTAATCCATTTAGTACAAAAGTGAAAACCATCGATTTCATTTTTTGATCTAGTGAAACTTTTTTCATGAAATTGTTTAATATGATGAAATTGTTTCAAATAATTCATTTCTTTTGATGAAATTGTTTCATATATTTTTGTTTCTATATGTAGAAATTAAATTGTTTCATGTATTTCTCATTTTGATGAAATTTGTTTACTAAAATTAATAGAATGAAGATAATACTGTCCATAATTAACATTTTCTACAAAAAAAAAATGACTGATCAACCCTTATAATAACCAAAAAGAAAAAAAAATTATGGTTGGTTGATTGAGGTTTTCACGATCTGTACTAATGGCTTGGTTTTCATTTTATCCTTTCCCTATATGTGTGTGTATCTAAAATTATTTAGGAACCTGAAAACTATCCACAACATGGCAGGTAGCATATTCATCATAAATATGAACTGTGTTTTTTTTAATCATAAATGTGTTATTTATGATAAATATATATCCTAAAAAATGACACATGGAGTGTCCTAGGCAATTCCCAATTTCCTAATTATTTTTGGTTTCCTAACTCTTAAGATAACCTCTCCCCCCCCCCCCCTCTCTCTCTCTCTCTCTCTCTCTCTATATATATATATATATATGTGTGTGTGTGTGTGTGTGTGTGCGCACGCGCGCACGCTCACGCACGCACGCGTGTGGAGGGAGGGGGAACTCGTGTGCTCTTAAAGCTTGAGATGGAACGAAAGAGATGCAAATTATGAGGTTTGAATACCTGATTTTCTTGTGCTTGGTCCACTCAAGCTAAAACGACCACTTCAAATCAAGAAAACAATTGGTCTAGTCCTTATGTCGAGCCTATGATCGATCTGAACATAACGATACTAAGTGATCCTTGATCGATTCAGAAGGACCAAGTTTTTTTTAATAAGCTTTATTATTGCTTATGCTGAAACAACATATCTTCAAACGTAGTTATTATACATTGTCTTTAACTTGTTCTTATACAAATGCCTGGTCCTATCGTGATACTTAACCAAATTCCGATATGAAAATAAGATTGATTCAGCCATTCAGGTTCGAATGATTGGAATGGTCCCTAACCAATCCTATCGATCTCGTTCAATTTCAGATCCATTCTTTACTTTAGATTCGTTCTAGATTCAGGCATTGTTTGCCAAAAATAAGTTAGTTTATTTTCTGGATACACGTTTGGATGTACATAACCTAGCTTATAAGCTATCTTATTGAAACACTACTTGGAGTAGTGTTTTGGTAGTTTATTGTCATTTTTTCCAATTATAACCTTTTACGTTAGTTATGAATAAATATTAATAAAATTGAAATAGTATTAATATTGATAATATTAATTATTGACAAATATTAATTGAATATAAGTTAAAAATTAATTATAATTATACATTAATATTATTTACTAATTATTT